GTCAAATCTTCTTTGGTGTGACAAAGATCTGAACTCGTACCTGCTGTCACACGAAGATCTTTGTCGCACTAAGCATTCAGTAACAACAACGTATCTTTGTCGCCGCACCGAGCGGTCACTAACAATAACACACGTACTTACTTGGTAGAAGACATACAGCCAAATATTGTCACGGATACAAAACATAGATATACAGCCATATACTGTCACGGATACAAAACATAGTCCAATAATCCAAAAGAAAAACGGCAAGGTTACACCAAGGAAAACGACTGGGTCACACCAAGGAAATGACCTCCAGCAAATGCACTCAGTGGAAGCAAAAGCGAGATCTTGTCAAACCAAAAACATACGTGGTAGAAGACACCAGAGAGAAATTGCCACAGCACTGGGATGGAAAAACACAACCACCAGTCATTGTCAAGATACCGGCGCCAGATGACGACGATGCACCGGCCGGCATGCAAGTCGTTCTATCTTGACGCCCACATCCACCTGAGGAAACAAAGGAAGGAAAAAGTTCACGAGTCAGCTAGCGAGGTCTGGGGCCGTGTACCGACGGCATAAGCCACCGCAGTTCATGGATCCGCACATCTAGGCCTAAGCCCTCCTCCGTGCAAACCAGGAATTCGTACCGGCGACCTCGGCCTCCAGAGCCAAGTATCTTCACCACTACAGCCAGGACACGGTGTTCAAAAGTGGGGAACCATACTGGTCGTGATATCCACCTCACCCCTGCAGAAGGGGCTGTAGTGTCCAACTCAACAACACACCACACACAACACCACACAGACACGGGTCCGCAAAATCATACTTAGTCGAACTGACATTTTCCGGTGCCAAAACTGCTCCCCGCCAGGTGCACACATCAAACGTGCAGCCTGCCTCTATGTGGCCAAATTCTTCAGAGAGGCTCTCTCGCACTGGCAGCTTAACATAACAACATATCAAAACCTCCCTGTAATCCAGCAGAACACGACAAAGTCTTCGCAATCCCAATAACCGACCAACGACCACAGATGTTCACTGCTTCCATGGACATCAACAAGAGAAGAAACCTGCCCCTAACCCAGCGGACCACGGGCAATTATCTAGGTGGGGAAAAGTTGGGACTATCATATCGTGGGCCATCACCCCTCACCTCTGATCAATTCTGCAGGTCAGAGTGCTACTAATTGTTGTCCTCAGCTCCTCGTTCGTCATTTTACTCCTGGCAAATCCAAAAATAGTGAAATGCTGTACAGAGAATTGACACGACACGCCAACCAAGAAGTTCCCAGACCCTTCGTCCCACCCGAATTCCACAAAGATCAAGATCATAACAAGCAGCCATCCACATGAACGCATTTCCAGTTAAGTACAAGGGCATCAGCATAAGCACTTGCCGGCTCTAGACTAGGATAGCATGCAACGTCGAGCAGAATCCACGAAGCCAAGATGCAGCGACTGCTGAGTCACAATGGCAATAGCTTTCTCCCCAATTAACCCCTTTGTGTCCTCTCCAAAACTTAACCCACCACACCCAACACACATTCCCACTGCTATTATGGAAAATTTTATCATTAAGCAGATAGCCTTCATACACCAGCTCTCTCTCTCTCTCTCTCTCTCTCTCTCTCTCTCTCTCTCTCTCTTATACAAAGAAGATACACAAAGGCACACTGACGTACAGCGACGACATCCTCTAAAGCTTTTCCTTGGCACCACCTCCATCACTCCGCCCGCCGCATTTACAATTTTACTCAGTCTTGCACGAGTACATACCTCAGGCAAATGACCTTCATAATAGAGTGCAAAGAGGGCAGGAAATATTTTCTTCTTGGCAAGGTCGCCAGATGCTCCGACAACAGTGATGGACACGGTTGACAACTGACTCCCTCCCTCTCCCGTGTCCCTCGTAGTGGAACTCGGCATCTTGACCACTTCCTCGGTTCGCCGCACTGAGGTCGAGTAAGCCATGGCCTCCTTCCGCGCCGATCCTATTACGGTCCACCAATCAATCCCATTTCAAATTCACCAATCAGTCCCATTGTGATTCACCGGTCAATACCGCCAATCAGTCCCATTTCCATTTCGCTCCACCAATCAATCCCATTTCAATTCACCAACCAGTCCCATTGCGATTCACCAGTCAATCCGACCAATCAGTCCCATTTCGATTCACCGATCAATCCAACCAATCAGTCCCATTGCGACTCACCAGTCAATCCGACCAATCAGTCCCATTTCGATTCACCGATCAATCCCATTTGGATTCACCAATCAATCCCATGTCAAGTCACCTGTCATTCCGATTTCCATTCACCAATAATTCCCCATTTCCAGCCACCAATCAGTCCCATTTCGATTCACCAATCAATCCCATGTGGATTCACCAATCAGTCCCCATTTAGATTCACCAATCAGTCCCCCTTTTTCATCCTTTTCTTCCTTTTTTTTTCTTTCTTTTCTTTTTTTTTTCCTTAAGAAACGTAACTTTCTACCAGCTGCACAAATGAGGCCCGGAGTTCCTCAACAAAGAACCCATGCTGGGACCATAACCGAGCTTCGGTGCAGGCGTTGGGGTCTCGAGTCCAGAGGCAGAGATGGCCCAAACAAAGCATGACCTGACGTTTCCCAACCCTAGGGGGGGGGGAAAAAAAATAAAAAATCCCAAAAGCCATAAAAGCCACACAAACCAAAGATAAATTTCGATCCACCATTCAGTCCCATTTCAAATTTCAATTGATCACTCAATTCAAATTTGAAATTTCACAACGTCTCATTTATTTGACATATCGATTGTACAAATGAGCAGCAGTTCATACGGTGACTCAAACGGTCGCCCCAAAAATAAGAAATAAAATATTAAAAAATAGACAAGGTATATCAAAACGACTTCTGGCATCATCAAACGGGATAGGGGTAAGAACTTCAACCTGATTTGCACAGCCAATGTCAACCCTATTTCGATTCACCAATCAATCCCATTTCAATCCACCAATCAATTATCAATCCCATTTTGATCCACCAATTCAGTCCCATTTCCATCCCCCAATTAATTCCCATTTCAACTCACAATTCAGTCCCCCATTTCGACTTACCAATCAGCGCACTCAGCAATATGATATCGGAAAAGAAAGAAAGAAGAAAGAAAGAAAGAAAGAAAGAAAGAGAGAGAGAAAGAAAGAAAAAAAGAAAGAAAGAAAGAAAGAAAGAAAGAAGATCTGATGACCCCTCATTTGAGTAATGCACCCTGTCTGTGGTAAACCTCATCAGCGAACTCGGCCTCACACAGATGAGGCTTACAATAAATAGACTCGGCCTACAGTAGGGGCAATCATAAAACAGACATGCTTTTTAATAAAAATAGGCCTCAGTCAAACTGAACCCACCAAGCATGGACACACAGCGAGCGCCACCAAAGCGACCAAAGGAGCTACTTCCTCAGGTAAGGGAAAGGCCCCACTGACGCCATGTTCATGCTTGAAAATCAAGAACCTGGCTGTGATGGCGGCCAGGTTCGTTCTCTCCACGCATGAACATTCAACCTGTTAACCTGGTAAAACCCCTGCCAAAAGTCCAGACCGGTCTTAAGTCGCCATACCATATTACCTTTCACGACCCCCGCCAGTTAATCAGGAGCCCCTCCTCCCACAACCCCAGTTAAGCAGGCGCCCCCTCCTCTCCCCACCGCTCCTTCTCTCCTTTATAAGGAATTCTCATTTCAGGAATTGTTAAATATTTTTCATTATTATTCTATATTATTATATATTATATATTTTTGAATATTCTTTTTAAAATATTTTTTTTTTACCAATCATAAGTAAGATACATAGTAATGATCAATAATCTAATAATTAATTGTATAATTACAGTCGGTCCATCAGATAGACAACATCGAGTCCACAGATGATCTTTCCTGTCTGAAATAATAGGCCGGATTACTTAGCAGAAGGTAATCGTGACTAGATTCACGCATTTCAAGTCAGCAATAAGCAGACAATCTTCCATTTGCCTGTCATTCTGCGGGTCTTTGTTACTTACTGCAGCCACACTTCTCACTGCTTGCCACGTAATTGCCGCGTAATTAGCAATGCCTGTTTAGAAGTGGATTCGGCTAATTACGCCATCAATAACGAGTGCTTCGTCTCTGTCTCGTCTTCTCCTTCTAGCTACCTGTTCCTACCTTTCAGAAAAAAGTGCAAGCGACCGTTTTGTGAGCCAGGATCTTATCACTATACTCTATGCTCACTACAGACCTCGTTTAGAAGCCGACATATTCCATGTAATGGGTCGAGCTGTGTGAGAAAGCTGAAATGACGCGACGAGAGAAGCGACACCTGACTATCCTGGTATGACATGAGAGCAGAGAGAGAAGGGGGGGGGGGGCGGAGCGGGAGGGTGAAGAGGGGAGGACAGGCAAAAGAGAGAGAGAGAGAGAGAGGCAAGAGAACGGGAGAGAGGCAAGAGAACGAAAGAGAGGCAAGGGAACGGGAGAGAGAGAGAGAGAGAGGCAAGAGCCGGAGAGAGAGGAAGAGAGCAAGAGAACGGGAGAGAGAGGCAGAGAGAGAGGGGGGAGAGAGAGAGAGAGAGAGAGAGAGAGAGAGAGAGAGAGAGAGAGAGAGAGAGAGAGAGAGAGAGAGAGAGAGAGAGAGAGAGAGGAAATCCTACTGACAACAAGCGAGGGTGGCAGGTAGAGGGGCTGCTCATAGGGGTGTGGTTGGTTATAACGAGGCATTAAACACCACACACACACACGAACGATGATCAGGATTCCCAACAAACCAATAACAGGTTTCTGTTGTTATTCTGAACATGAAGTATCCGATCTGCCGGGATACTCGCAATAGGAGTTTTTCGACTGAGCTCTGGACGTGATAACAGTCAGATGCATCCGGTCTGGCCGTAATTGACGTCAGGTTCGTTCAGGAAAGTCATAATGTGAGTGTGGCCTACACCAAGAATTACATCATCATCATCATCTCCGATTTGATGATTGCTGAACTGCCACCTGGCCGTAATTACAGTCAGATACGTTCAGGAAATTAGTGTGGGTCTGGCCTGAGTCACCTGCACCAAGACTTACTACATCATCATCATGATCATCTCAGATTTGATGAAGCTTACACTCCCACCTGACCGTAATTACAGTCAGATACGTTCAGGAAACAGCTACCGGTAGTGTGCGTATGGTCCGAGTCACCTGGACCAAGAACTACATCATCATCATCATCATCATCATCATCATCTCAGATTGGATGATTCCTGCACTGCCACCTCTTCTCTCCTGTTCTTCGGATTAACCATGCACAAGGATAAGGGTTAACTACGGTAAGCATCGGTTTTGTTCCCACCCCATCTCTTTCGAAAGTGGAGTATACTGTCCACATGCACTGTATTCGGCCCTTTTACATAGCCATACTGTCCACATTCACTGTACTCGATCCGTGGTTCTCAACTCAGCATTTAAACGACCCTCTCTTATTACCCAGCTATTTTCTTTTTTTTTTTCCGAATACCCATCTCAGCTTGACTTGACCAACTCTCAATCAACTCAATGGATGACTATACTACACTTGAGGTCAGCCCAGCCTGACTTACCTCACTAAATCAACAGATAACCCATCCGTTCCCACGGATAACCCACCGATAACCAACAGATAACCCACCCCCTCTACAAATAACCCAAAGATAACCCACCCATTCCACAACCACAAATAACCCGGAGGTGGCACACAGATAACCCACCACCCCTTCTACAGACAACTCACAGATAACCCCCCTTCCACTTCACAGATAACCCACAGATAACCCTTCCCTTCTAGACATAACTCGCAGCTAACCCACCCACTGCACAGTTAACCCACAGATAACCCTCAGATAGCCCCCACAGATAACCCTCAGATAGCCCTCAGATAACCCACAGATAACCCTCAGATAGCCCACAGATAACCCTCAGTTAGCCCTCAAATAGATAACCCACAGATAACCCTCAGATAGCCCACACAGATAACCCTCAGATCGCCCCCACAGATAACCCACAGATAACCCTCAGATAGCCCCCACAGATAACCCACAGATAACCCACAGATAACCCACAGATAACCCTCCGATAACCCTCAAATATATAACCCACAGATAACCTTCAGATAGCCCACAGATAACCCACCGCCGGCTTATTCAACCTATCGACACTGGTTCTCCTCACAGGATCACCTCAGCTAAATCGATCCACTCATCAACGGCCCTAGCTCAGTTGGCACACCCACAAACTCTTAAGATACGGACCTGTGTTCGAATCCAGAAGGAACTAGATGAATAGAATTCCTGAATGACTACTACATGAATAGAATTCCAAAATGACATTGGACCAGTCAGTTTACCTCACAGCTAAATCGATCCACTCATCAACGGGCCACAAACTGTTAAAATACGGACTTGTATCCGAATCCAGAAGGAACTAGACGAATAGAATTCCAAAATGACTTTCGCCCGGTCAGTTTCACGATGATACCTCAAGGCCGTGGCCCTTTTGAAAAGAAAGAATAAAGAAAGGAAAAGAAAGAGAAGAAGGGCATACGCGATGATACCTCAAGGCCGTGGTCCTTTTGAAAAGAAAAAATAAAGAAAGGAAAAGAAAGAGAAGGGCATATATACGGAATGATACCTCAAGGCCGT